ATTTCATCGGCGAGACTTTTTCAGACAGGCTTTATAGATCATGTAGTGCAAATAACACTAACTCACACACAATGTGAGTTTATATTTTTTAAAGACTATGTTGATCAATATTGTTCTAAGTTTTAGAATGTCTTAATTATACTTGGGTACTATTATTATTCTTCACATTTACATAGTAAAGACAAAACTTCAAGAACAAAAATTTCGGACTTCAACCATTATTATTTCGAACAAATATACGAATGGTTTAGCATCCACCTTTTTGTAGGACCAACTTTTTCACCTCGACGACGAATTTATGACGACTTTAAGATTTAGCATAATATGCAATTATATAAGTATATAATATTAATATGACATAGCAATTAGGAGACATCGATTTAAAATAATGGTTATATGAGGTAACCAAATAACACATAACTCAATAAGTCTGTAGGATATATTGTAACTAATTACATATTAATTTACTATTAAATTAATGTATAATTTTTAATTTGATAGTAACAGGATGTAACTGACCATCATAAAATGTTATAAAACATTCAGCAAATCCTTACCTAATTATTGATTATAATATATTATGTCAAAACAAGTTCCTACGAAGTTATTGAATAATGTGTTAATTGTTACACTATATTAAACGAATAATTTTATTGTTTTTTTTTATATTTCAATCAATCTGAACTTAACGAATTCTATGAGCTTATCTTAACGTCGTGGCTTTTTATAGATGGTAACCAAAATCAATAGGCTTATCTCTATGTGATGAGCTTTAATTATTACAATTTCTGTATTTATAGATTATTAGATGCATCAAATCTAAGATGAAAACTATTTTAACTTGAAAACATATTGCTTCTACATTTCCAAGTGAAGACCAATGTCAACACTGCTTGACATCAGACTGTCCGAAAAAAGTATCGAATTTGGAGCCTCTGATTCAAATTCCATAGCCCTAACCATCAATCCATATGTAAGCCCCATCGATAAAAAAACATTGATGGCTGATGATATAATGAAAAATGATGATTTTATTTAAAAACTAGATGACCCGACAGACGTTGACCTGTACTTATGCTTACAATTCAAAAGTTCAATTTTTTTTAATAACCTATACTGATATTTACCAATCAGTTAAAAATTATGTTTTTTTACACTACAGTCTATACCGAAATGTATTTACATCTATTCATATGGATCTTAAATGTACAATTGCTTTAAATAAAATGATAAGTATTTGTTTTTTTGAAAAACATAGAACACTTTTTTTCTTATAATTAGTTCTTTTATTGATATCCGACGTTATTTTGAAAAAAAAAATGAAATTACACCACTGAGAGGGATGTCATCCCCCCGGGAAATGATGAAGGAGTCTATATTATTTTCACTTTTGAACTTGAGAGTAAGATAAACCTAATTTTAAAATTTTATACGAATTGGAGCACAGTAAAAAAATTCAAACTCAAAACGCTCCATTGACTTGAGTAAATATTCCGTTCGGATGGTAAAATTATGAAAATACTAACGTTTGTATGTGAAAAAGAAAAGGGCTGTTTTTAGGGTTTTCCCGGCAATTATTCGATTTTTTCTCACCGTAAGAACCATCCTTGGACTTCAACGAACATTATAAAAAAAGAATTGGCCAAATTGGTCCAGGCGTTGTTGAGTTATGCGCTTACCAACACATTTTGCGATTCATTTTTATATTATAGATTTATTTTATATAATTAAAACTAAGTCAAATAGCAGTAAGAAGTTGTAGGTATCTTTTTGCATATATCACATATATCACTGGTACATTCTTGTATTATGTAGTTGTTTTCTTATTTAATCACCGACACGGTAAGACTAATGCTCTATTTATGTTTCATTCCAATCAACGGCGATATATTACGAACGTCTGCAATATACATCATCGTACACACCTAACAATTTATAGTATCTGGATAATGTATCATTTGCTTAAAAAGAAGACCGACCCACGTATAACAACATTAAAGATATTTCAAACGCGTTTAACGCGTTTCTGTTTATTACTGGAACAAAGATTTTGATGTATGTATTGGCAATGGAAGTTTGTTACCTTTAAATGATCGATGTGGTTTATAATAGTCAGTTTTACGTAATTAAGATATACTGATATTTTATGAGACAATGTATTACATGAGCTTAAATTTACGATGTACTAAGCTTTCATAGACTTAATAACCCAAAGTTGTTCTTTCTGTTTTACAATTACATATTTTGGACGATACCTATACTTTTTTTATATATTTTTTGTTCTATTCTTTTCTGTTTATAGGAAATGATTAAAAATTTAATTATAATTATTTGTAATTAGCCTCAAAATCAATTTTAATAGTTTCAGTAAAATTGAAGCAAAAATTCCAAGCAACTCTTGAAGTCACGAACTCGTCGACAAAAAAATGTAAAAGTATTTTGTAAATTAATGATTAGTAGAAAATCAGTTACTTTGGTATAATCTAATAACTTACTTCTGATCTGTTTAAATAATTATCCAATTATAAGCACGAGATTAAATTAATAGCAATAGAAACTAACGTCTTGTAAATATTTTATTCAAACACTTTAAATAGCTGCTCGATGAATATAAATTTAGACAGAAAATTTAATTTTTAACATCCCGTAGAGTAAGTTATTGTAATGGGCCGAAAATCTAAATTAATTTTTTTTTACATTTCTCGACGTTTTGAAGGTTTTTGAACATTTTGGCATACCTCAGAAAAAAAGATGTGTGTGTGTGAATGTGTATGTATGTATGAATACAATTTTTCGTCTACGTTTTCGGGCGCAGCGATCAACCGATTTGAATGGTTCAAAAAACATTCGATTTCTATCGATAGAGAAAAGAGCTGATTAGTTTTTGGCAAAAGCAGGTCCAGCCGATTTGGAGATACGGAGCAAAGAGTGCACAAAATATAAATCGAGTTTTTGAGAGAACGGAGCATCCGATTTGAATGATCTAAAAAACATTCAATTAGTAATGATTGGAAGAAGGGTTTATTAGTTTTTGGCAAAGGCAGGCCCAGCCATTTCAAAGATTCGGAGCTAAATATGTAAAAAATGGCAGTTTTTGGGAGAACTAAACGTCCGATTTAAATGATTCAAAGAACTTTCTGCTTGTCTTAACAAAATAATTGATTTTGGAAAAAAAATTTTGTTCCAACTTTTTTTTTTCAAAAAAAAATTTTTTTGTATATCGAAAAATAATTCAGATTTTATTTTTAATTCTGACTATAGTTCTAATATACTTTGAACAAATAATTTCAACTTTGCAATTTAGTTTATATAACTCTTATAAATATTAGACAATGTTACAATATTAATAATAATCTATTTGAACACATTCAGTATTCCTCGAACATTTCGTTACGGTACGGGAAGGTCCAGCAATTTTCCTTAAGGCACGATGCCATACACCCCACTAGTTCTTATATTAAATTAATATTAATATTCAAACCACTTCTCATAGGCATATAATGATTTGAGGTCTTTACTTACAAGGTTTCATATCGCACTATTACCATGCGAAATTTCATCAAAACCGAGTAAACCCGAAGTTCTCATTGTGAGTAGTTTATTATATATATATATAGTAGGGCGAGGCACAAAGGTCCAATTTGACTTTGAGCAATTATATTGTGAAAACCAAAACAATTATATCATAACAAATAACATCTACCAAACAAACAACTATCTGACTATGTTCAGTAAAATTCTCATCATTGTAGAAATGTGTTCTTTTTGCTGTTTTTCAATCATTTATAACCTGGTCTTTTCTACCCCAAGGGTGGTGTAAATTGGAATGGCCAGGGGGCAAATAAGTACAATGTTTTAATTGTATATGCTAATAATAATTACATTATTCAATTAAATAATAGTTACATTATTCAACCAATGCAAAATATAAATTTCATGAGGGCATTTTTCACAAAGATGACGCTGTAAATAATCTTGATCTGGTCAGAAATATTCATCTGCACATATGGAATAAGTATTTATTTAATTTATTTCTTGTGAAATCTTTTTGCTTCTTTTAATTTAAGCTTTTTTTCTATTTTTTATTGTTTACGTCTTTGCTAAGGTAAAGCTTCAGTGAGTCTTTTGACCCCACCCAGGTGTAAGCTTTTATAGAGGTTATATAGAAAAAACTGTAAAACCTAACATAAAAACAACAATACATTTTATAGAACATTTGAATAACGTATAATTAAAACATAAATTGAGGTCTCGTAAACTAAACAACATTGTTTACAACCGAAAAAATTAACAACGAAAGAAAATACTTTTGTTATGAATTTTCAAACAATCCCGTTTATCTTTCGATAGCAACGTCGTAAGAATCAAGATGATGGATAGATATACATCTTTTTTCCTCTACTTTCAAATATTATTAATAAAAAAAGTCTTAACTTTACTTGTTTTTATACAAACTTGTTATCTATAGACTATGTATGGATTTATTAATAGTCTCTTTTACCAGGCACTCCTGTTTGACTGAGATATAAAAAAACTAAAAAAAGAAAGCTTTACTTGTTTTTGAAATATCGGTGGAGGACTTTTTTACTCTAAACCCCGCTCTACCCTAAATATGAGTATGTCATCAAAAACAAAATACTATAATTTTACAATCTCTTTCGTTTTAGTTAAACTTATACATCTCTCAAAAATATTCCTAAAAATAGTTCCTCAACAAAATATAAACTTAGACTGCCAAGCGTGTCTTTCTTTTTTTTAATTAATTTTTATACTTAAGCCCCATCTCCTATGTATGTAATATTTGAAAGTTTTTAAACCTATAGATCATTTATAACAACTCTACTACCAGACAAAATTTCATCAAAATCCCATACAAGTGAATCCAAAGTTTTGAGTAGTCCAATATGTTTTTCAAAATAAAAACATCAATAATGTACATAACTTAAAACAATAACATAATTATTGTTTTATTACTATTTAAAATACTTTTAGTCACTTACTGATGTGTGGAGACATTGAAAAACAAATGCGAGTACTGCGGGGCGCTGTCCTCCGGTCCGTGCGGCGCCGGAAAACTCATCGTCAACATAATGGGCTTCCGCAACGAATTCTGTTTGCTCTGTCGCAGGAAAGCTATCGAGTCGTTCACTATCAGATCCGGATAATAGTCCTGTCATGGGAATAGATCAAAGAAAAAAGAAACTTATTAGATTTTACAGACTTCAGACAAACGATACTTGAACACGATAAAACAATACAGTTAGAAGCACCAAAGAAGAAATAAAATTTTCATATCCCATGTGCAGTGATATGCAGAAACAAAATAGCATAAAAAAACCGATGAATTATGATACTAACCCTTTCCACTCGTGCAAAAATAATACGAATTTTGTCGCCAGAGAAGCAGCATCAGAGTGAAAAGGGTTGAAGCTTGAGTAAATTATTAACTTCAATTTAAAATTTCTCAAAAATCTAATTTTGTCAAAGTTTTAAAAAAAATTTAATCATTTTTAAAAACTAGTTGGTTTTGGTATTTTGCCTTGATGCAAGTTACATGAACTTCCCAATATGTGTAAATAATCGATTTAATTAATAAAAAATAAAAATTTATGAGTGATATTCCGATTGGATTTATAGCATATAATTGAAAACGAACAAACTCGTTAACTCGGAATATTTTCTAAGAGCAAATTTTCAAAAATCAACAATTTTTATAATTGAACCAGTTTCCGTAGAACTTTAATACTTTAGTATATTTATTAAGATCAAGTACTCTATCATTATACCAAGTAAATCGTCTAATTTATATTTTTACAAACGTCAAAAAAACTACTCATTTTCTCAAACTTTGATGAATTTTTAAAATAAATTACTTGTCGTAAGGCCGCAATATTTCAGTAAGTTCTGTAAGACCATGATATATATCGCCAAAATAAGTTCCATAAAAATCGGCTCAAATTTTTTTTCAACAGTTAATTACAAGAAAACGGCTCGGTAGATTTTTACCTAAAACTAATCAGTATCATTCCCAACTAATATCTTTCGAACAGTTTTTGATTTTTTAAAATAGGTTCGATAGTTTGAGGTTAAATGTGGACGAAAAGTTCAACACAAATTACAAAAAAACGGCTGGGCAGTTCGTCTCACAAAACTGACAAACGAGATACATCGAATGGCTTTTAAATTTTTGAAATCGGTCCAGCTGTTTGTGAGAAAACGAGGATTTACGGCAAAAAATCTGTTCACATACATACACACACACAAATACTTTTTCTAAATTTGGTCTCATTTGGCTTGAAACGTCGAGAAAACATAAAATTAGCGAATCGGATTTTTTGATGAAGACAAACTTCTCCTTCGGGAAGTTAAAAATTCATTTTTGGTATGGGAAGGTCCAGTAATTTGTCTTAAGGCACGATGCCATACATCACTAGTTTTATGAAAATTTTAATAAGTTTTCAGCTTAAGATTAGGTATTATATTCCATATGTAATTATACGTATAGAAAACAAGATGATATTAAAAAAATAATAAAATTACCCTACGGGAAGTTAATAATTAGATAAAACAATGTTAGTAAAAAAAAATACATTTCAAAATAATCATTTTTTAAACATATTTTAAATATTGCTTCCTGATTCTGTAAGCTACATTCACTAAAATCATTTCTTTATTCTAAATTTCTAAATAAGGAATTCAAGATACTGCAGGAAATCTTACAACACGTTATTTCTGTGTGAATTTTTTTAGAAATTAGAATATTTTTTAGAAACCGGATTATTTTCCTGTTAGCATAATCACTTTCCTTTTCTAAGATATTTAAGAGATTTTATATTCTTTTTTTTATTTGCCTTTAAAATTTTCGGTAAATTTTATTTCTCAAAACAACACCATATGAAGTTATTTCTCAATTATAAAGAAAAATAAATAATGATATCATTTGTAGTATCTTTAATTTCTTTATAAAAGAAATAACTTATAATAATGCAACACTTTTTTTCTATATAATTTCGTGAAATACATTTTTGGAAAATGATTACAGTAGAGAAAAACTTACTATAAAACTAAACTATTAATTCGAAAACCATGTTTTTGAAAGCCGATTACTTTCCTATTTTTATAATCAAAAGCTGCTTGTAAGAACTATTATAAGATTTTATAGTTACTCTGTTATTGGATTTATTATAAAAGTTATTATGTTCGTTACCTAGCAATTTAACTTGTAATGAAACAAAAATACGTCTTTTATAGAATAAAATAAAAAATATTTTATTTTTTATTCAGCGTAATGACATAGAATTAAAGACTTTAAACGTTATGTAAAACTCTAAATGTAAATGCACTTTAATTATCGGGCGATTAAAAAACAGTCGAAATAAAAATAACATAATTTTATTTTGTTGACTGCAATTAACAATAATTAATTCTAAAATAGTTATTCAACTGGAACAGAGCTTCCCAAATAGCAGTTCTTAAAAAAATGTGTTTTTTTCAATTTGTTACCCATATTTGCATTTTATCATATAAACTTTGATATAACTCATTAACGCAATCAATAAATTATTAAATCTATCAACACATATTTTGGTATTTAAATCAAATTACCAACAACTAAAATCAATAAAGTTTCAGTTAGCAGGTGAATTTACTCAAATAAAGTAATAATTTTAAATAAATTCAATTCCACATTCAATAGTAATAAAATTGAAAAAAAAGAGTGCGCGTAAGGTTCAAAAAATATAAATTGTATTTTTAAGCAAATTTTTTTTTTGTTTTCTCAGTTCAACAATATCTATTTTGAATTTAAATTATTTACATAATTTTGAAAAATACATTTTCGGAAAGTGATTACTTTATGAAGAATTGAAGATACTACAGAAAAACTTTCTTGTGTAAAACTTGTACTCGTGGCTGCAAAAATTAAATGTTGAGATATGCCACGTACTTTATTTAGCATGTATAAAATAATATTTAAAGAGTTGTTATAAGGATAAAAATGCATTTTATACAATACCCGTATCAAAATTCTGCAACCGATTTTTATATAACATGTATTTCTAATAAGATGCTTGTATCATATTCACGTATGCTTAAACCTTAAACTCTATATTGTACGCCTTTTAACTAACTATATAGTACGCCTAATATGCCTACAGCCCTATATATATAATACGCCCAATATTATTTCTTATCTTACACCTATAATGTTTCTTAAACGCTAATTTTTTCGAACCCTACCGAGAATCGAACCCGAGCCCTCTGCGTGGCAGGCAACGACCTTAACCACAAGACCACCGTACCGCCACGGTTGGTCGCCTTTTTCCGCGTGTCGTCGCGTCACCTTAATATTAATTACTTAATTAATAGGTAAAGGTACCGCGGAAAAACAGTGCGTCCCTTAATATATTATTTGTGGGGGACCCAATAGAGTAGTGGTTAAGGCGCTGGACTGCCACGCGGTGGTCCCGGGTTCAATTCCCGGTGTGGGCGATAGACAGAGTATAAGGTAGAGACAATAGATAACACAGGCCAACAAAAAAATATTTTTTTTTGGTGCCTCAAATGTTAGAGCTGATTCTTATAGTATTTTTTGCGCTGATTTCAAATCTGCAAACCATTTCTTTGTATCAGCTCTAGTTTTTGAGATACAAAAAAGTTGCCGAAACCAGGTCCATTCGAGGTCGTCACGGATAAGAGCTTTTTACAGTGTCAAGTAATGCCCTAACTAAGGCCGAATGGGTCTTGTAAGTTTGTATGTACGAGTAGTCATATCTCCTTAAAATAACATTCGGAATTGTATTACTATTTTGTACTTTCGTTCCTTATATTAGGTGCGCAACTAAGTTCTCGCTGTTTGTCAGTATATGGCTCTATCAGTAAGGGTTGGTCGATTTTGACAAATCCAAAACGTCTTGAAGCAAGCTTAGAGTAAGTAAACAAACTGCTGCGACACATAATTGATTTCGTTTTTGCATTATATACTTCTGGTTAAGTGAATATGTCCAATTTTATGCCAAACAATCGTTATTTGCGAGGAGTGTTGATTTTCGTCTTCCATTAAAAAAAACGGGAACTCAAGTGCATCGAGACCTACGGAAATGTTGCTCTGAGCGAAACAACATGCCGTGAAGGGTTTTGTCGCTTCAAAAATGGTGATTTTGATGTTGACGACCACCCTCGTGAAGGAAGGCCAAAACCTTCAAAAACGCTAAATTGAAGGCCTTGTTCGAAGAGGATTCGTGCCAAACTCAAGAAGATCTTGCTTTAGAATTAGGAGTTACCCATCAAGCCATTTCCAAGCTATTGCATGCGTCGGGGATGACTTAGAAGCAAGAAACTTCGGTTCCTTGTGAGCTGAAGCAAAGAGACGTCGAGCGTCATTTTTTCGCCTGTAAACAACTGCTCCAGCGGCGAGAAAAGAAGAGGTTCTTCATCACATCGTGACAGGTGATAAAAAATGAATACATTACAGCAATCCAAAGACGAGAAAATCTCGGTTCGGCCGAATATTCACTGCGAAGGTTATGCTCTACATATGGTGGGACCAGGTCGGTGTTATCTGTTATGAGCTGTTGAAACCGAGTGAAACCATCACTGGAGAACAGTATCGAACTCAATTGATGCAATTTTTTTAAAATAAAGTTACATTTTCATCGAAAAAACAGCGAGAACTTAGTTGCGCATCTAATATCGTAAAATATATCATATATATCGTATCTTGAAAACTAAAGCTCATAGAAAAAAACCAATGTCATTTTTGAAATCAGCGCCCCAAATATACTTAAAAACAGTATCAAAATCGTTTGCACCATTTTCTTTGTTGACCTGTGATAATAGATAAGAGTATAATATAGCGTATAATTGGTAGAATGTAAGGTTTGTAGGGGGTAAAAAGATATGTAGGTAGTATGTTATATATGATAGGTTAATAGCAAATAATGATGAAGCGGTAATAGATTTATATATAAGTGTAGGAACTGATGGTCTTAGGTATCGTACGGTATGATTATATAGGTAATTTATTAGATTTAAGATAATTAGATTTAAGTCCTTTAACATATTGTAATATATCTTCGGTACTTTTATATAAAAAAGAGTGCGCGTAAGGTTCTTAGGCGATTGAAGTAAAACTAATTTGCTACTGTATATGATGGCATTTAAGTAAAAATAAATACATCATATAACAATTTTGAATAATGTTTCTTAGTAATATAGTAACACTCGTGATACACATATTTATTAGTGTCAACCATTATACAAATTTATATAATGTGTATAAGAATGGCTTATACTTCAAATATGACATGAACGGTTATTGGTGATTTACACCCTAGTTGTGCGTAAAGAAGTATTATTTCAAAAATTTTAAGAAAATAAAATAAAAAATATTTCATTTTTTCTCTGCCATAGAATTAACTTTAAACGCGATGACAAGAAGTCTCTAAACGTAAATGCACTTTAATTATCGGACGATTAAAGAACAGTTGAAAATCTCGAGTACAAAATAAAAACAAGACAATTTTTCCTTCATCCACTGCAATTAACAAAAAGCACAATTCGTTTTAACAAAAAGAGGCAAAATTATGCATTACTCACTTTGTGATAATCATCGCCGTGCTTGATCTTCTGCCCATTCATGTTGACAGAGTAATTGTAGTATTTGGAGTTCATAATGAGTCCTCCCCATTCTCTCCAACCAGGAGGTATATAAGAACCATTGTATTTATTCAGATATTTGCCAAAATAACCTGAAAATAACAGAAACAATAATTAATAATTATATAGAACATAATATTGATGTAGACTCTACGTCATCTACATTGTAGAGAATATTTGCTTTTAGGTGAGCGAGTTTGGAATTGGCTATTGCTGAGTAACAACATGGTGAAAATAATTAGCAATTCATACAACTAGTTTAAAATTGAATTTTAAATTAAATATTAGTTTAATACAAATATGTATTGTTTTACTCTAGACTATCAAAATCTTTTATTACTATTTTATTTTATTTTTACTATTTTATTTTATTTTTAAAAAATAGTGCAAAGCCCATAATGTTGTGAGCACCAGAGTACCATTACTAGATCAGATTCATCCAAAAAATGCTTTTAAAGTATATAAGTAGCAGAACTTAAAGTACACCCATAATTGAAATAAAATCCACTGCACTATCACTGTTCTAGGCCATATTACTTATTAACCATCTTTGTATATAAAAAATAAGTTAATGCCTTTGGTAATTGCTGGAAGCACCTTCATCCAAAATTGTATACATATATTGTATCCAAAGAAGTTGTAGAACTTAAAACAGAGTAATTTAATAAAAATTCTTTACTACCACTGTTCTATGCGATTTTAGTTATTATCTATCATCATCATTTTATTATAACGATTTAAGTACTTGTTTGATTAAAATCTGCCTAGTAATTTATTGTAATTGACTTTTATCATAGCAGTAATTACATCCAAGCAAATTATAGGCACGCAATAATCAGATAGAAGCAATATCATGGTGAAACTGTAATATCATCTACTATTTTAGCATCTGAATTACAGAGAATTTGAAAAATATTTTTAGATACATGTGGTATAAAAATATACGATATGAAGAATATAAATATGTTGCAAAATGATTTACGTTATTCGTACCTACATTTTCAAATTACATACTCGAAACTTGTTTTAAAAATCTAATTTTGATATGTTATGAATCTTTCACGTTTATTATTCATTTAAGTAAAGAGTATGATCGTGTTTGTAATAAGGTCACCACTGCTTGACATCAAGCTGACGCCGAGTAGGGTATCGAGCCTAAAACTTCTGATTAAAACCTCATAGACCTAACCTCTACCTAAGAGAATGCCCAATTGTATAAATTTTTGCAAAATTGATTTATATAATTCTTTTATTTCTAAATTTCTCACTCGAAATCTTCTTGGTGTGCTAAAACTCAAGAACTGCTAAACCGATTTGGCCAGTCTTAGTCTTGAAAAATTTGTGTTAATCCAGAGATAGTGGGAAAGGTGAGATATTATTTCAAAAAGGTTGGAAACCACTGATTTAAGTTATCTGATATTAAATTATTTGTCATTTACTTTATTACTATCATATTTATGAATAATCATCACAGAACAAAATATGAAAAAAATACATTCTGTATGTTGAAATAAGGTCATTGTCTACGTGAGAAAAAGATCAGAACCGTTCGAAGGGACCCAGTAAACATACAAATTGTAACCAAGGAGAAACTAATCAATTACAGTATTGAAATCGAAATATGAAGCTTTTGATAAAATGCAACAACATGGACCTTGAACTGCTTCTCTGACACGTGCTATTGACCTATGTAGATTGGGCAAGGCGAGAAGCTGTCATTTATGTTCCATAAAGAATATTTGTAAGTGTGTCGGTACGATATTTTGTTCAATATTTTGTTAAGATATTTTGTTCAATATTTACCAGTTCTGTAACCAGCATTCGAGAGATACGTTGCGAAGCTGCGAGTCTCGTGACTTGCCTGCCACTGTGGACTGCTGCAGTTGTCGTTGTTGGTGAAAACCTGAAATTGGACAAAATTTATAATATTGAGATAATTCATCTAAATTGTAATGATTTAATTGCTATTTATAATATCGGTACAAAAGTCACCTACGCTAAGAATTCTAAAAATTATGCATTAATATTATTGTTGTTCCCTTCGTCAACTTGGTATATTTCGGTCTTACCATTATGGACAATTCATACATTGCTATTAGCACAAATAAATTATACTGAATAGTCAACATTTTTTCAAAAAATCAACCAAACGATCGTTTTTCAATAACCCTATAATTTAAATAACCTCCATCACAGCTATCAAATTAAAGCTATCAAATCCAGAATGAGGGAACTATATTGGCTTATAGGACATAATTCAAAATTAGCACTTGAAAATAAAATCCTGCTTTACAAAGCAATAATAATTCCTAGTTGGTCATGTGGGATAAAGTTTTGGAGATACTCTAGCAAAGTCAAATGTATTATTGGTACAGAGAACTTAATCTAAAATACTTAGAATGATGACAGGTGCACTATGGCAAGTGAGCAATAAAACTTTGCACGATGATCTTAATGTGCTATACATTAAAGACGTTTTAAAAACAAGATCGACTAATTGCCATCACAAATTATAAAGTCAACCTAATAAACTCATTGCTCCACTGCTTCTTGCACCAGAATTTAGAAGACTGTGGCCAATTACTTTAATCCAATATATTGTATCTAATAGTAATTACCCACTGGGGTAACTGCTATCTATAATTATATGTAAATAATGTTTTTCATTTGCAAATAGAGGGTTACAATTATTTACTTTTTGTTTTTCAATTTTTTGGATGTAAAACAAAAATTAGGCCCATAGAAAATTAAGTAATTCATAAATTTTAATGAATCAAGATAATTTTAAGATAGTTTGTGATGTGATATGAATAAATGACTAAATTTTAATGACTTTAAATGACTATGAAAGAAATAAGTTTGCATAAATTTCAAAAACAATTATAGTTCTGATACTATTTAAGGACTGCTGATATTCTGGCAATTGATGATAAACAAATAAACAATCTTAAAGAAAGTTTTAAACTATGTGAAATATGTCATCATTACATTATAGTTTTATTATAACTAATGCAGTTTTTGCACAATTTTAATAAATAAATGCTTTTCCTCTTTTGCATTTAATTTATTCCCACACCCAAAATAAATTCGAGCTTTTATAGTTATATAGAACCTGTTCGCGAGTATCATTTGCTTTTATGTGACTAAAAAAACTTAAAAAATAACATTTCGGTTGACAGCATACGAAAAACTCTCGACTCTTTTATAAGAACTGAATATCCCTCCAATATTCTTTAATGGTCGTAATTTGATTATTATCACTCAGTTTCTTGACGATACTAATTTATTCAATATTATTCTGCAAATAAAGGACTTTATGCAAAACGACGATGGCAACTCTTGATTATAGAGTCTCCTCTGTAATCCGATATGGAAGCATATTCAATATCGATACTGCATATCATAAAAATCGTTATATTAGAAATTTATATACACGATAACATGTGAGCAAGCGTATATAAAATGCAAATTAAAGTATTACAAGGTACAAAACTGGGAATTGATTTTATAATATTTACGAAGCAGTAATTTATAGCTCTAGTGCTATTCTGTAATACTTTTTGCGAAATGTTTATTTAAAACTATTAGATTATTTATGAAAACAACATACGTGCTAACTGGGATTTTATTGATTTCGAAAGTTGCATGTAATTAAATTTGGGTTGATCGATTTAATGATTCACTCGTTTATATAATAAATGGTAAACAAAGGCTATGAAAACTTTATGCAAAAATAAAGAATATAATATTTAGTATTGCAATTTTGGAAGTTCTGCTTTCCTATAAAACAATAATAAATATACTTAAATATTAGTGATTTTCTTTTTTTGCGTTTTATGGTACATGCATAAAATTCTCTTATTAAACTCTGATCTTCTCATTTATTCAAGATAATTTTTTTAATATTTTTTTTTTATTTTTTGTGGCCAAGAGCAATATTTTAGCATACGTGATATGCGTAATAATTGCTGTATGAGATTTGATGAAGGCATGAAATTAATTATGTATCTGGACGAAACCGTGGAAAATGCGATGTTTTATATTATTTGCTATATGTAATTTAAGAAAATTAAATTTGTTTTACTAACAATAAGTTTGATTTTAAACTCTAAAATACTGTTGAATTTTCTGGTACTAAAGGTTTCTGAAGAACTATATCTACAAATGAAAATTTATTTTTGAATTTATTTTTAAATGACTAAAAATATAAACATACGTAATAAAAATTAGTAATTCTATGATAATCTAAAAGAGATGCACAAAGTGCATAATAAAAAAATTTAAGACAAAGTCAGTCCATTTGGAACTATGAATAAATGCTATTAATGTAAATCATAGGACTTTTTAATGAATCATATGCATTTTTCGTCTATTTTTAAATTTGGCTAACATATAAAAGGAGCAATTTAGAGCAACAATGTTAAAATAAGTTATTTATATACCAATCCTAAAATAACTTTTAAAGTTTAATAGAGGATCGAAAAGCATTCAATAGATAACCATTTGGAAAGAAATTTAATATGAAGTTATAATTCGATTCAAGAATTTACATATAATTATATACATTTTTTCATCTATTTTAACATATAAGTCATGAAAAGTAACAATCGCAAAATAACCTAACTAAATCTCTCAAGTTTTTGGCAAAATCTAATCAGCATATCTCCCTATCAATAGGAATCGAATGTTTTTTGAACCATTCGAATCGGTGGATCCGTGCGCCCAAAAACGTGGACAAAATATTGTATCCATACATATATACATACACACATCCATTTTTTCTGAGGCATGCCAAAATGTTCAGAAACCTTCAAAATGTGAATATATGCAAAAAAAATTAATTTCGATTTTAGGCCGATTACAATAACATACTCTTCGTGAAGTTAATAAGTAATATCTACTTTTCTAAGTATCTACTTTTTTATTTGATTGATCATCTATTTGCATAAGACTTTCAAAATTGAATTAAATATTTGTTCAAGAATTTCAAAAAAATAAATCTACGAACTAGAAATTCTACGTCTAGAAATGCTCTTTACATTGATGGAAAAAAAAATAAAAACACAAAAAAATAACATAGATTTTTAATTATTAGTAAACCTAAAATAGGTCATCGAAATCTATTCGATTAGCAGAATAATCCATATAACGGATGCTGCGATTGCTTCATACTATTTTTGGAAGGCACTAGAGAACAAACTGAAACATTTGAACTCTGACAGATTTTCAATTTGAATTGTAAATTGCTTTAAATGCGATTAAAAGTTTATGTGCCAGGTCATCGAAGCGTTATTACGCCAGTTCGAAACAAATCGATTGTTCAAATTCTATCTGATTTAGGTAACAATCAGTTGTATTACTGCAGATTGCAAATTAAGCCAAAAGTAGGTTAAAACTCTAATTCTATGCTGTAAAAGATAAACGAAACATTGAACCTATTCCGGCATTATGATCAGAATTCTAAATGACTATGAATAAATGTGAAATAGGCACGTGTATAAATTATTTATATAATTTAAGTATAAATACATCAAGTAAGAAATTAGATTAGTGCATAAAGAAGGCATATGTATAACATTATTATCATTGCTTTTTTAGATTTTATTTTTAGTGGAAAGAACTTTTTTTAGTGGAAACATCTTGCTTCAAATTCTAATGATCTAAATTTTAAAATAAGAAAATATATCTCATTTTAATCAAGAAATTATTACCCATTACATCGTCTCATAGAAATCAGTAATAGAATCAAGCAGATTTAACAGTGATCTTTTTCAGTGATCTCATATAACTATAAGGTAGTTTATTTTAAAAAACAAATATATTGTTTCTACTATAAAAGATAAATAAATATTTTAAGTTAAATAAATGCTTTAAAAATACAAAATCATCTAACAACTGATAATGATTAAGCGACGGTCATAATATTATTTTTGTTAACCAAGAACTAATTAACTAAATATTATAATTGATAATATTTTGAGTTAAAGGTGTGTATTATTTCCTGTATATTGAACAACATATCTAATAATATGCTGCAAACTATAAACAAAAAGACAAATATTATCCTCGTTTATTATTTAAGATGCATTTCTTCCGCAATTTATTTGTAACCATTCTTCGAATGATGCTATATGCTTGCCAATATAAATGATAGCATTGAAATACAAATATTTTAAAATGATAGCATTGAAATAAGTTTTATATAAAATTCTTGAAGCAAATTATCATAGATAAACGAGTATAAACAAGTGCAAATTGTTTGTGTGAAATGTACCATTGTCATTTTCAGATTAGTAAAAATCGACACAGAATTGTATGTAAAAAAAATGCCAGTTTCCTAGTAATTATAAACTAGTAAAAAAATGAAATAAAAATGAAATTAAATAACTAAAAGAAAGATGTTTGTTGTTTATTAGAAATATATAAATTTATGGATCTCTCTAATTATTTAAATAAAATTCCTTCGAACGTATTTTCGTTTTATTATAGTGACCGTAAAGGTGACAATCTTCATGGCATTGAGCTTTTACACGGAATGGTTTTGATAGAACTAATTGTTCACTTCTAAAAGTAAAGTCCGCGAAACAACATGTATAGTAAATAATAAATAAATATATGTTCTTTCATTATAACTTAATGATAAATCAATGATTGTAATAAGAACTGCGACAAATACATAATACACAAACAAATCAGGTTTGATACGGTCCACAGCTACAAGGGTTAAATCATAACCCAATAACCTGAGTTAATCGAAGGAGAGTTTTAATAAATTCTATAACTACGTACATCAAAAACCAAATTAAAAAAAAAACATTTTTCATGGATATTTTCAGTGTGATTATTATAAACTATTAAAATGACTTCATCCTTTATGAGGTGAATTTGCAATAATAATATATCCAATAAATTTTACTAGCAGAAGATGTTTGTAATTTATTAATGCAATATATACAACTTGCAAATAAGTGCTAGTTTTAAAATATATTTAAAAAACTATATATTTTATTGTTTTTCTAGTATCATTTTATTATTCAGAAATTTTATTTATATTATTTATTAATTTTATTTTTATTATAATTTGCTTTTATTTTATATTAAATCATCATACTATGGATATTATTTTCATGTAAATTCTATCCTTTGCACTCTTATTTATTTAAAATTATGTTATTATTCATCAATATTGCTAGATGTTAACCATTTAACAGTTGTAATAAATATTGTGATTAAAATATATATATATATATATATATATATATATATATTTCTATTCTAGTAAAGTATATGAGGAGGCGACATTAATCACGTGAGGTTTTTAGGGAGAGGGAAGTGGGGTTTAATAAAAAAACATAAAATATCACTAGGGGAAGGGAGGGGTATAGTAAGATATCACGTGTATTTATTTTTTACCTGAATTTAAAAAAAATCCAAACATTTTCATAAACAAAAAAATCAAAAATTTTACAATTTTTTTTCATAACTAAAAATTCACGTGATGTTTCGTGGGAGAAGGGGAATAATTTTGAATATCACCACGTATCACATAGAGGAGGGGGTCCAAACATTCTTTAAAAAATCGATCACGTGATTAATGGACGCCCCCTGAGAAGAACAGTGATAAAATCTGAATCTTATATTTATTACTAATTATTTGTCCGAAATATTTCGAGCTCTCACCTGATGATTGTGGACATACATGCCCGTCAGCATGGAACTTCTGCTTGGGCAGCACATGGGAGTCGTGGTGTAGGCGTGCCGGAACTGCACGCCGCCGTCTCTTAGCGCACGCAACGTTCGAGGCATAAAATTCAAGGAACCTGAGAAAGAGAATAACGAAAAAATTAAAAAAATCACAACCGATCACAAACTCATGGTAATTGATTATTATACGAATTTTTGCGATTTAAAATTATTTAAATATTATGATTACACTAGAAGCTGTTTTTATCCAAAAAAACATTGAAGAAAAAAAGATATGTATGTAACCTATGTAACATATTTTGAACAAAATTAAAATTCAGCATATATTTAATTATATATAAATATATATATATATATATTTATATATTATGGATTCATATATAAATTACTCATAAGATTCTAGACTGGTGTAAAACAATTGACCGTATGAAAAGATCAAAGCACAAACTAGTTGCGGGTTTGACTACAACCTCGGTCAGCTTGATGTCAAGCAGTAGTAAAATTAATCTATACAATTATTCAAATTTTGAATTTCACATGACTTTGCATGAAGTATTAGACTTCAATAAATTCGTTTAGACATTCTTGTTTTTTCTTCCATATATAATAATTTTGTATGTTAAACCATAAAGGCAACGATAGGCAACGATAGGCTACCACTTAAACTCCTAAAATTCAAGGTTTATTGGAAAATTTCTAGAAAAATACATGAAATGTATATAGTAATATGTTTCAAAATGAAAAGAGCCCGGAACAACCGTTTGGGTTGTCATCTATAAAACCGACATCGTTATTTAAGTCAAATTATGTCAACAGTTTAAGAGACTCATAAGTTCTGCTCATTGTTCAAATAATAATAATAATATAAGTAAAAAGAAGTTAACCGGGAAACCAGTCTAGAATGCTAAGTTTATTAAGGATCCATAATTAAGTGTTTTGTTTATATAAATCATCGGTATTAATTTAAGGGGGTATTCTAGTGTAGAGCGATGAATTTTATGTCATTTTTAAAGTGTCGTAAAAGAAAGCAATGAATGTTTTTACTATCCATTTTTTATCACTTGTGTATTAATAATATTAAAATACAAAAATTAAAAAAAAAGTTGAAAATTGAAGAAACTGGCAGCTGATAAAGTGGGGGGTCACAAAAAATTGGCACCTCAGGCTTGACATGATTTCAGCCCTCCAAGCCATCCGAAATTAAAGGAATAGAAAGATTATTAATCTACAATGATGTCGCAATCGCCCGAACTAGCAATGAGTAAAAATTTTTTGTACAAATTGGCGACTGTTTGAAAAAAAGTGTTTTTTTTACTGATTTTTTGAGTTTCTCGAAATTTTTAAAAATAGTAAAAATTGGAATTTTGGTATAACCCTAGTTCGGGCTATAGATAGGTCTATAAACAAGACTCTCTGAACTTTTCAAGTGAATTGGTCGAGTAGAACTCGAAAAATCGTGTCAACAGTACTGAAAAAGTCTGTTCTGAGAAAAACGCATTTAAATTTTTGCGTGAAGCCAAACCAGTATGGAGACCGAGTCAGTAAAATGCCTATATCTCCAACAATAATTCAAATCTTCAAAAACCTTCTCGTACCCATATTCCTAGATAGTTAAACTTTGAAAATATAAAATAAAAAAATCGCCTTTTTTGAATTTCTACACCAGAATACCCCCTTAATTCAATGTAGACTAAAGGTAATAGGTAATGTGCTGTATTTCTAGGCCGAAATAAATATATAAAAAATATAAATTATTCATATATAAATATTACACAATAAACTTCAAAATACTTTCAAATTATATCAAAGAAGTTTTTGGTATTTTGCATAAAGAAGTTATTTCTTATGTAGTCTTAACGATTGTTCATTTCACCGTTACATGCAACAATCGCTTCAAGAAATTCTTATATGTCATTTTATTTCAACTCACCTAATTCGACATCTTGATCATCCGTCATGATCAAAATAATATTAGGCCTACGCTCCTTCGCATTTGGCAGTGGTATAAAAGGACCGGCGCCAGATGATCCCGAATGCGAATGCTTCTTAGACCCTGCAGAATGGTGAGATCGCCCATTTTGATGGTGTCCAGCATGCTGATTAAAACCTTGATGATGATATCTCTCCTGATTCGCTGCAACTTGTTCAGATCTTTTTCCATCAGAAGTCGTCAAAAGATTTACTGTAAACACAATCAGCGTGATCGCTAGCAGAGTCGTTAGATTTAGAACCATCTTGAGAATCGGGCCCGTCGCGATAGAAACAATTTAGGATTTTATACTGAAAATTATATCACTGTATCATTTGGCATTTTCACACTGCTTAGACACACACCCACTTGAAAATTAAAAAGCACTTCACGCACTTAGTCAATTCAAGAGACACAGCCTGATAGCGGCTTTTGATTGAAACACTCATATTGTTCTTGCGACACTCTCTTCGCAGATTTGATATATTCCATCATTACTTTTCTTGTTAATTTAACGGTACAGCGATATGGATATTATCCCGTCTCTGGCTGCATCTCCTCACTTCCAACTCCGACCAATTCTGTAACGGAAAACGGTAAAATTTTTAAAGTGCTCATTCAAGACAGTGAAATTCAGTATTTATGCATTATATAGAATCGATTGGAAACGGTCTGCAATTAGAGATGGGAACAAATTGGTAATTTAAACATCGATATAATGAATGAATAAATTTTATCTAGATAAAGGTATACATTTTTTGGGGCATTGGAACTACAACTACAACGGATTTGTTTCAGTTTTCGTTTTACGTTATTTACTATAACAATAATTTTAAATCTACTAAGTATCTTCTTAAAATACTGGATGTTATAATTCATCTATTGAAGCAAACAACAAGCAAATACGTATTTTTTTTTGACATCTCGAAAGAGTTTGTTTTCACCAAAAAATCCCACTTGCAAATTTTATGTTTTCTTGACGTTTCAAGCCATTCTGAATCGAATAAGATCCAATTCTGAAAAGTAAGTGTGTAGACACAAGCAGATTTTTCTATCTTTCGTCCAAAAATTAAAATAATAACATTTTTCAAGAATTGGCCAGAAGACCTCAAATCAAGTTAAAATTAAGTCTATCAAAATCAATCAATTTCAATGGAAATTATCTTAATCACGTTACTTAAGTTATCAGTTTAGCTTATAAAAATTATGTACTTTTCTGATTGCTAATAATAAAGTGTTAATAAAAATCATGGTTATTTACTGCCCAATTATTATAAACTATCAAAACGACTTCATCCCTTATGTAATAAATTTGCATTAATAATGTATTTAACAAATTTTACTGGCAGAAGCCAATTGTAATTTACTGTTTGAAAATTTTACTTATTGTTTGAAAGAGTTTGTTTTCAGTTTCACCAAAAAATTCAATTTGCTAATTTTATGTTTTCTTGACAATTCAAGTTATTCTGAATTCGGATGAGATCAAATTCTGAAAAAGTAAGTGTGTAGATGAGCAGGTTCTTCTATCTTTCGTCCACGTGGACCGATTTCTAAAATTTAAAAACCATTCATTGTGTCTCAATAAGGACTAGTTGATTAACTAATCAATGCAAGTCTTTATTGAGATACAACGTATTACTTTTGAATTTTTGAAATCGGTCTAGCCGTTTACGAGAAAGGTAGAAAAGTCTATTCACATGCACACTTCTCCGAATTTGATCTTATTCGATTAAGAATAACTTGCACAATGATCAGCCAAGCCGCTTTTTTGTAATTAGTAGAAAAGTGTTAAATTATTCCTCCACAATCTTGAATCGATTTTGGAACTTCAAATATTGTTCCAAATATATTAGTTGGGAATAGCTTTGTTTGGTAAAAAAAAAACAGCCGGGCCGTTTCTTTGTAATTGAATGTTTAATATAAATCGGCGATTTTGATGATTTTTTTGTGATGTCCATCATCATTGTCATTTATCATACTAAATATACTTAAATTTTACGGCCCTACAAGTAGTTTTAATTTTAAAAATTCATTGAGGTTTGAAAAATCAAGATAGTTAAATTCAAGTCAAAAGTCGCTTTTGTGATGTGTTGAGTCAAATTTTGAATTTCGTCAAAGTTTTCTCAAAAACGGCTGAACCGTTTTCACAAAATCTAGAGCTTCTGGATTAAACTCAATAATAAAGAAGCGATTAGGTTTAAAATATTAATATTAGTATTATAATTTCTGTGATATCTATTAGTCCATTATAGTAAGTTCACCTCGGAATTCGAGATACCTACTAGCTGTAAGTCTGCAAATACTTGTATATAGACACCTAAAATTTGTTTCAAAACCTAAATATGTTGCATACACCCTACCATATGTAGGTTTTGAGACAACTTTTATGTGTCAATATACATGTATTTACAGCTGGGTATCTCGAATTACGAAATTCTTACCAAAGTTAAGCTTAAATGACTACACTATATGTAGTATATATTCTTTTATTTATTGACGATGCAATGCCGGGCAAGGACTATTTTGACTATGCATATTTTTATCTAAAATATAATGTTATCATCGATGAATTCTTAATCTATTTCTCAACCCTACGTGTGATATAAACTTTAATGCAGAAGTAAATATAAAGAGAGCACTTTCCGCATGCAGAACGCTTTGCAAAGAAGCCACATGACATAAGAAACACGATATATCTTTTCCCAAGACGATTGTATTATTGATTCTAGAGAAAATAGTTTGCACTTTATGTGCGTTATTTATATTTTATAGTTTATGTATTTTATTTACAAGATGTAATAAATAACGAAATGGGCAGTAAACTGTATAATTTATAGTAGACAAGAATAAAATATTTAAACGCAGCAATACTGTTTGAAGCATAGTTTAAAGAATAAAAATAATATTTGTTATTTTAAAAGATATACCGGAAAATATATTAAAGGGCCAATTTTCTGGTAAAATAAACCGTAACATAGCGTTGTTATGGCAACGCTATGTTATGCTTCTTTCTTCATATAAATTGGTAGTAAAAACTGTCTAAATGCTATGTATCTGCTGTTCGATCAGAGAGATGCATTATAATAACATTCTTTTTGATGCCAGTTTTTAGGTTGGTTTATATCTAAAACGCTTGAC